TGCAGTTGCTGAAGTGCCTAAGGGAGACGGAGAGTGCCGGGTATGCAAAAACAGTTGGAGCGAGAGGGACAACTGGTGGAGAGCGAAAGGGCGTCCAGTCCCCCGTAACGCCCCAGCATCTGCGCCGAACAAGGCTTACCTTTCTGCCTTGCACAGGACAAAGTGGCCCTTTTGTAAACAAATAATTACTTACCGCTCGGTCCGAATTCAGCGGAATGGCTTTTGTACCGCTGGCATCCATATCGGCACCACTTTCGACACCTTCATCGGCAAGGGAAACCTTTGGCAGATCCTCAGCGTTTTCACGTGCCAACTGACGTAATTTGTTGACGATCTAAAAATTTCGGTAGTAAGAGGGGGCATAATTAGGAACTCTAAAAGAGGGAGGGCGGCTGACCTCAATCACCGACTTTTCTGTGTTTTGACCCTGATTTTGAACGATTTGGGCATAAAATTGAAACAGCTGGTCGGACACTTGAATCATCGCATCCTGAAATATGACTGGTTATAAAACAGGTTAGGGTTTATTTGAGCCAAACAGAATAAGGAGTAAGAAATATTCCCACGTTGTCTGCTTACCCCAACACCTCCTCTCAATGGCGAAGTTTGGCTACCCCCTTTTAAGCGTAATGAAAAAAGATGTGAACGAAGGTAGGTTCCTTCAGTAACTGCTCACGGTTCTAACTAGAATCCCTTCAGAAAAGTTTGAACAGCGATTATATTTAGAAAATACTATAACTGACGGACAGCTCATCGAATTCATTTATCGTCTTCCCACTCAAGGTATGGCATCGGTGCGAAACCCAACAAGGGGGAGGGTTGTATTCGGGCCAGGAGAGAATGGGGAGGTTCCTGAACTTGATAGGAGTTCTTCTAATTGATGATTTGTCCCGTTCCACGCGCGCTATGTAATCCCCCATTAGTTCTTGGCGCGGTAATCTGCTATTACAGTCTTGTTCGCTGCAGAAGAAGGGACGTGGCAGTGAGGTTTAGTTTGGCACGCCGCCAGTCTTTTCTCTAACAACTGAAGCGGGAAGTGACAAAAACTAGTGGAAATGAGTGGACATATACGAACAATGATACAGTCATGTCGCTTGCCGATAGAAAAATGAAGAAGACAGGTTTGGCGTCGCGCAAATGGGGCGTGTCAAGGGGATCCCTCGACACGCCCCATCATCCACAGCGAACACGACTGTATGATTCCTGCATCTGATTGAACGTATTTACCCCTCCTCCCACATCTGCTTAACAACAAAACTTTGGGAGAATGTGGTGAGCTGATAGAAAGTTTGTGAGATTTTACGACCATTTTACCCACGCCGATGCTTATACCTCTGTTGTCAGCCCCCCCCCCCACTCCTTACTCACCCTTGAAAAGCTACCCTTAGCTCAATCTTCGCTGCTAACTATTTTTGACATTTCCCCTTTGAATAATGCCCTTTTGGGCGTTTTCCCCCCAGGGATTTAAATTCATGGACGCCTTTGTTTCAACGTCCATATGACTGATGATGCTATGCATTTATCAGAACAGGGCGAGTATGATTAATATGAACACAACCGGCAAGGCAAAATACCTGAGCTGCTGCCAACTGAGCGGCTTTCTCTCCGGCGAACAGTAAC